TCCAGCATGAATAATGACGAGATTTCTGCCCTGTTTGCTGTCCTCTACAACCTTCTGAGCTTTGGCCAGTGCATCCACCATGTTCTTCTCTGACTGGGCCTCCACCCTCACTCTCCCATCTTCCTTCACTGTCGGGAAAATGCCATCCCTAATCCTGGCCACATTAGAGTCCAACTCTCGCGAACACAACGCCATCTATTGCCTGGTAGTTGTCACCCCCGAACTACGACCTCTGTGCGAGACATGTGCGCCACCCGGCGCAAACAACTCTACAGGGAGTGTCAGCATCCCACAACGTGCATATGCCCACATGCTAGCCTTAGGTAGCTGGCAGACGACCTGGGTAGCACTCCACACTAGGCGCTCTTGAGCCAGTGGCCACCAGCTGGCGACTATACCTGCTGCCAGTTTGCTGCAAACCTGGGGAAACAGCAAACCTCGCTGCTGCTATCGCAGTGCCGTTAGCTGAAATACGTGCCTGCTGAAAAGTAGGCGTGTTTCACTCTAACTCATTTGTGGCGTGCGAGTAACTTTTCACACACTTCTGTAAGGACACGGTTTACTTTCGTGTTATACCGATTCTTATGACAGAGTTGTCAATCATGTTTTCTCTTTACAGTTAAACCTGAATATAACGAAATAATAAATTCCTGGAAAAATTTGTTATAAAGAGAATTTCGTTATATGCAGGTTCGGTACGAACGTTTGAAAAAAATACAAATAAACAAAAGGGGGACTGAAGGCAGAGCTAACCCAAAACGCTCATTTTACATTAAAAAACTGCATTATTATTGCGATAGTAATTACATGGAGGCTCTTGGCGAGTTTTTGCCATCACCGCCATGTTCCGTAACAAGCAGGGATCCCATTCCTGCGCAAGTGTGTACCAAATAAGGTTTGCTGCGCCAACCTGATAAAATCAGCTTAAATTGCGCCAAACTGTGCCAAACCATCTATCTCAACGGTCCACAACCTGTGACCCGCGGGCCGCATTAGGCTCGCAGGGCAGTTTTATGTGGCTCTCGGAACGTCAGAAGTCTTGAAATCGCTAGACACTGCAATTGCGGCAGTATTTAAATAATATAATTGATGTTTTAATTACCGGAGACAGTGCTTGAGTCTAATGAGAGAATTTTTTACCTTCCTGCAAACAAGCCATTGCCGCTGCTTTCAAAAATTGGCCGCCAGTACTTCTGTGGAGCAGGGAAATGCAACCTCATTTCGTGGTGGGACTGCAACCAAAGCTCTGAAGAACACAACTGTGTGTGCCTGTGCCTGTTTTCTGTGCCTGATCTGTCCGCATTGACAAAAAAGCAGCTAAATCCGCTCCAGGCTTTTCGAACCTACCACATTTTATTCTAAATGAGTTTAAGAGGCGTTCATGTAAACGTACAGTATAATCTCAGTGATGCGAAACTGCAGCAGAAATGTATTTCTAAATTCCCCAGCCAAATTTTACTATGTTCATTGGGCCTCAATTCGAATGTTCCGAACACATTTCCTAATCGTGGCGGGTGATATGATCTTTAGTAGCACGGAAACCGCCTAACGAAGGCCGAGAGCAGCGTACTCAAAGCTTTGGAAGTACGCGTTCGACTGGCACACTACAGTGCGTGTGATTGTCATTGCCACAACTGCTGAGGACGGAAGCGCTGTTGCTCCGTACACGATCATGTATGGTGACAACGTAACTGAGAAAACCCCAAAAGTGTGCGCTCGACCAGTCAAAGCAACGCTGCTATTCGTAAACTCTGCGGACAAACCTGTGGCAGATGCTATCGTAGATGACATAAAACAACTTAGTTTTGAAGGCGCATGCGCAGCCAAGTGCATGGGGATACTAAAATGAACTACTGTTTGCCGCGACCGTTGTGCACAAAACCATGGTCGCGGTGACACGATCTGCGAGCTCCGGGGGCACACAGCGTTAGGTTAAAGGCAGTAAATACGTAAAAAATAAAAGTTGCAGTTGCGCCGCAAGGGCCAAGCAATAAGTGCGACAGCAACAACTTGGAATGTAACGCTCAGAACGACAAGCAGATCGAAACGTGCAGCACGCTACTTACTCAGAAATGACGCACGAAAACTGTACTCGCTGTACGAGAGCAGACTAACAGGTTTTACCGCTCGACAGGTAACGCCATGTTCAAACAAAAACGATGCACAATACATAATCACAGGTGCAGATGAGTACAAACTAACAAGTGTAGTGAAAGATTCTCCCACCAAGATAAGCACGTGTCTGTGCAGGTGGCTTTTTTTCTGTGAGTGTTCATATATAATAGATACCTATACATATTGGGTGAAGGACGTTGGCGGTGGCGACGGCAAAAAAACAGCCTGGACTGTCCATATGATTGCTATCGCAATAAAAAGGGGCCAGACGCGTTTTGGTGTTCCTGTCGAAAGAATGTAGCCGTAAGGAGAACTTTGACCTGCGCTTGTACGGCAGCCAGCTGCGCTGTCCCGTCCGTTCAGCTGTGTCCCAGGAAGACACACGCGAGTTGTTTTGACTGAAATAGCTTCTGCTAGTTGTGTTGATCCTTTGAGACTCTCACCTTTGTGAAAAACTCTACCCTCGTGTGTTCGGCTACCTGTAGCCACCATAAGGCCGCAACTCTGATGTTGGCGTTTGTGATTGAGACCCTCCTCCCACCCCCTTTTGTTTTTCGCGATGTTTTTTGTTTGTTTGTTCTTACGTTTTTATTGCCCCCCCCCCCCTCTTGCGGAAATCTCCTGGATTCAGAATTCCATAACATGGCAGGTATGTAAAAGCGTTTTGCGGATATCTTTTATCGCAACAGTGGTATCTGCTTTGATTGCCAGGGGCGCCCAAAAGCGTGCGCTACGACGCACTTTGCCAACTTCGCGGCAACCTCGCACGCCGCCGCCATTGTCATTATAGCTAGTAACAAACACTGTAGCAAGCTACCCCCGAAACATCAAAACAAACCATCGATAACAAGAATAACGATAAAATACGGCCGCCGCCTCACTTCCGCACGAGAAGTTTCTGTATGCGTGGCGAACAAGTGAGGCAAGAATTGAGGGTGCTATTATGTTGTGAAAATCATCACAATATTTTCTCGTTTTCCAGAAACCTGCTGTGTTTGAAAAGCGCACTCTTTTCGCAAACGACGCTTGTCCTGCGAGCGAAGTGATCTTTGTGCACCCGGCAACCAAATGCAATAGTTTCGGTCAAAGTCGAAAGCACGCTATTCTATCCACCCCCCACCCTATCCGCGGGTCAAAGTACACGTGGGAGATAAGCGCAAATGGGGCATCGTTACGAGCTGGGCGCTAGGCGCAGGCGGCTTTTTTTTTCTTTCTGGAGCTTTTATATATATATATATATATATATATATATATATATATATATATATATATAGATACGTATACATATGCGATGAATGGCAGCGGCAATGGCAAAAAAACAGCGGAGAATGTCCAATATTTTGCTATCGTAAAAAAAAAAAGCAAAGCTAAACGTCGTCGGGGACCACACCATGCGCGTGCAGTGAAACTATACACCTGCGCATGGCTTCGCAAATGAAGAGTGAACAACACAAACAAGGATACTGCGGAAAACTATTTGGTAAAGCGCCTCCATATGCAGCGCAGCCCCGCATACGTGACGCTAACTTAAAGTGTGGCACTGCCAACACGCTAAAGTAGTTCTCTTTTTTTTATTTTGGTTTGGAGTGGCGGGCACACCCGCAGCAGCGCCGGCTTGCGGGGTACAAGAACACTTGCTCTGAGCCTTCTCTGTAGAGGGTACTTGTTTGTAGGAGTAAACGAACCCTTTGGAAAAGGGCGTCGTTTGCTCGTATAAAAGGTGCGAATGGCAATTGGACCATGTTGTTGCAAGCACCCACATCAGTGATTCTTTCTGGTCTAGCATGTCATAGTAAAATTCATACGAATGTGGCTTGTTAGGTTTAGTCTAAAAATACAAGCTTAAAGCGGCCCTGCAACACTTTTTGAGCATGGTCAGAAAATGCTGCCGATCTGAAGTAGAGGCGCCGACAACACTCGAACCAAATATTATAGCGCAGCATGCAGCCTGGAATTCACAATAAGTTATCAAAGTCAGCTGCAAATTGCTTTCTTTTCTCTTGACAAATCATGGAAGACGCTCAAAAATCACTCGTACCAAATCACTCGTAGAAAGCCCATCTATCAGCCATTGGCTGATTTGAACATGACACGATCGGTCGTTACACAGATCGCTGCGGGAGGCCACGACTTATCCACGACTTGTCCACGCGTTCGTGCACGGTCACACTGAAAAAGCCACGCAACTGAAGAAAAATAAAAAGAAAACAGTGCTCAAGGGCACAAGGCGCATGTGACGTATCTTTTTTTCGCCCCTACCATTCCTCCCTGCCTAGCTTCCAATGCTTTCGTCGGGACGAGAGAAGGGAAAATGCGTTTGCAGTGTGCAAAAAAATCTTTGTAACTACGCTCGTACTGGGCGGATTCTTAAAATTTTTGCTGCGTTGAATTCAACGAGGCAATAAGCTCTTCCAGCGAATTCATTCCATGGTTACTCGAAAAGGTTCTTCAGGGTCCCTTTAAGTATACACTTAAATGTCACTATAACACAGCTGCATCTTGCACGATAATAAGTTTGTTATATTAGAAAATTTGTTATGAAGGTATATTCCTCACCCTGTATTTATTGCATGACTATTCTTTACCTACCTCATTACAACCAATATATTCAGATCCGTTTTATCAACGTTTGAGTCTACTTGCTTCTTTAAGACGTACTGGTATCAATGTTGGCAACCTTTTTATGGCAAGGGTAGCCAGTCCCATAGTGACCAGAAATATCTTTTCTCTGCTAATGAGTGGAGCTGAGCATGACACTGCTGCAGGGCATTGAAATTGGGGCCATTACCCAGTCCACAAGGTAAATGGCACCATTGTTTTGTGGCATTGAAATGAGTCATTCTCTGACAAGCCCTGTGGTTGTCATTTCGCTTTCTATTTTACAGAGGACGGTCCTGAGCTTCCCACGAGGGTCAATGAAGAATTTCGACCGTTTATTCGTCGGTTACCAGAGTTCAAGTTCTGGTGAGTTGCACCAAAACTACCAAATGTTGTCCTTACCAGCTGCTGAGATGATTGTAGTTTCATGCACACTCATAGTTAAACCTCTTTAATTGGAACTTGGTAATACAGTAAATTTTGTTTGAAATAATTTCTGTGATCTCGTATTTTATGATGTGAGGGGATAAGTTGAAGTGGCTGTCGGCACCAGCCCAGTTAGTACATTTTGTGCACTATGTGGCAATTTCTGGTCCAGATTTTGCTGCAAACCCATAGAACTGGTGGCCCTTTGGAGTCATAAAGCAGTGTGGGAGACTCGTAGGTTGAAAAAAAAAAAAAAAAAAATCTCGTGGTTCTCTTAAATGCATGCCAGCAAAGTAGAAGAAATGCAATGCAATCATTCGACCATTTTTTATTATAAAAATTGTGTTGTAGCGCAAGGACAGCAAAACAGAGACACAGCAACACACACCACAGATGCTGTGGAGTTTGTTTTTGTGTCTCTGCCTTGTGTTTTTGCGCCTTACTATGATTAGTAGTAGGCACCAACTAGACCAAGGGCAATTATTTCTGCAGAGCACTTTTCGTACAATCAATCAATCAATCAATCAATAATTTTACAGCTGAGTCTCATTAATTCAAACTCAAAGGGACCTCTGACTTTTGTTTAAACTATCAAGAAGTTTGAATTATCAGAAATACAAACATAAGACTCGGTGGGAGGAGTGTGGTGTAGTATAGTGAAGTGGTGGTGTCGGTGAAGTGTGGTGGCACCGTGGTGTTATGTACAACGTGCTCGGAGGCGACGGCAGCGGTGCTTCTCAATTGAGCTGCGGAAAGATGATGGTGACGTTGGCGCGAAACGTCACGCATGAAACTGCGGCCCGCCAAAAGGAAGAGGAAGTGTGCGCGAAAGGTTGCACTGCCAATGCACGAGGGGGAGAAGAGGAAGACGAGTCGGGGGCAGAACGACATCAAGCTGGCTGAAGTGCAGATCCTGGGTGTCGCGCGACTGCGGTGTCGGGTTCCGGACCCGACCGCGTGAAGTCAGGCAAGGCCAGGACGCTCCAGCTGCCCACGGTGTACTCGGAGGTACGCGGCCTTCCAGAGTTCCGGCCTTCCAGAGTTCCGGCCGTGACTGTTCAAGGTCACGTCCCAGGTGTCCGGGCTTCGACTCCAATCCCGAACCAACCGTGGAGGGTGGAACCTTCCGCGTGGTGATCATCTCCTTGAAACGAGCCAGCATCAGCAAGCGGCCGCAGTTCTTGCTAAGGCAAGGGCTACCTCGTCTTCCGCCAAGCGTCGCCGTGCTGGTCAGCGCGTGACTCCAGCTGCTGAAACATCGCCAGCATCCGCCGCCTCAACCCACCATCAACGCCACCGGTGACTGTTGATTTTCATAAGCATTATAGCTGGACAACTTACATCACTTGTTTTAGTTTGTCAGCTTAGACTAGGTGTATGTACATTGCAACTTAATCTTTTTTTGTTCCTCTTAATTATGCTTAAAGTTTCTACTTTTCTTTTCTTACTTTAAATGGCTTCATCATTTCTCGGCTCTGAGGCTTTCTCTCCGAGCAACAATTTATGAAACCGTAAACCTGCATCACAAGGTGACACCACACATTATGATTAGGCATTGATTTTATTACATTTAAAAATTTTTAAGCATTTTCAGACCCTGAGGCCGCGTTCACACTTGGCCTTGAAAAGAGCGAAAGAGGCGAATGTCTCCGAAAACTGGCTTGTTTCGTCATCCAAGCGGCCAGAAAACCACGCCGCACAGCCGGCATGCAAAAATCGTTCTGAGACCGATTTTCACGTGGCCGGAAAATCGTTCCGAGACCAATTTTTTCGCCATGCGAAAGCAGATTTTGTTTCCGCTTCACGGCTTTGGTGCGCTACATCAAATCACGTGATCTAACCAGCCGGCTCCAGGTTCAACATGGCAGCAAAGGTGTTAGGAGTGGCTCGCATCGGCTCAAGTCGCAAACTACCCGTGCAGCACAACGAAGCTTGACCGTCTCAATGATGACGCGTTCATTCAGATCCTGGCTTGGATTACGATCGCCAAGAACTCTGGAATTAGATGGTGCAGCAGCAGCGAGTCGGCATGTCCCGTGTATCGCGTTTGTGTACAGCCTGCTGAATCCACCAGTGCATTGACTCGGGTCGTTTCTTCTGGCTTATCTCCCGAAACAACATTTGAAAAGGTGCGAGCTGCTTCATTTTAGTACTTTGCATGAATAACTAGAACACAGTACGAAATTTAGTGCTCAGAAAGCAGACAATATTGAATTCATTCCCAAGGTTGCGACTGCAGCAGCCGGGTCAGGGGCAGACGTGTGCGGTCGTGGTTTTCCGGTCGCTCTTGCGTTTTAGTTTTGGCTTCACTTCTCAAGTGCGAATGCTAACTGCACGCAATGAAATGAACAGAAAGGTGTAAATTCTGCAAGTTTATTGGCCATTTACTGCTGATCAGACCTTTTATAGAAGTGGTAAATGGCCAACTGCTTCTTTGCTATATGTGCCTTCAGCACAAAGCTCTCTCTACCAGTTGAGAAGCATCCCAGTTTATTATGAGTGGTCTTCATTTCAAACATTTCTTTATTAGCAAAGTCATTTTCCTTAAAGGCCTAGGGCGTCTATTTTTTTATTTTTAGACTGGTATGGTTATATATGCATGCACATTTTTAAATAGTAGTGGGAGAGCAGCAGATATTTTTTGGTATAGAACAGCAAGAAGTATGAATTAACTGAACGGTGGAGTTTGAATTAAGAGGCTTTTAAATATATGTAAAGGATAGAGGGCCAATAAAAAAATTGAATTGTGCTTGAATTATCGTGAGTCTGCTGTATTTCATTGTAGTAGGAGAAGTACAGGACTAAAAACTAGAGAGCTTCACGAGATGCCGATTTTGTTATATGTCGGTAAAGCAGCACGAATGACAGACAATCATGTAAAATAATAGCAAGTAAACTTACATGCACAACATCACATGAAGTAATACAAAATTTATGTAACAAGGCAGTGAATATAGAATAGTTGAAATGTATAGTCCTGAAGTACATGAACATGAAAAAGCAAGAATCGATGAGAAGAATGGCCAAAATTCCGCATAATGTATTATTCAGGAAAAGTAATGAGCTGGGCGAAGTGTTTAATGTGTTAGTTTTGTTTAGACGAAGAATTATATCTTCACAGTTTAATAAGCCAAGTAGAGAAGGTAGCCTATAGGACAATGATTGTTCATCATAAAACAGTTCTAGGGCCGGGTACAGGCCAAACTTTTTTGTGCCTGGTTTGTCGAACACTCAAGTTTACGTCAAGTTTAGCAAGAGTAAGGGGGGTATTGGTGCCATGCTTGAAGGGATGCTGAAGAACTTTTCTAAAAGAAATGACTTAGGAGCGTCTAAAGGCAGTTTGATCCCTTCTGAATTAGAAAAGCGATGTGAGAGTTCTCAAAAGTGAACGCCAAAAAGCTCCTGATGCTACAACCGTGAAAACACTTACGACATCGCCAACAATAATGTCGATCCTTCCTAAACATGAAGTTTGATTGAATTCTAAAATCCCTTCAGCTTCCCTTTAACAAGCTTTTTATAACACAACATCAGCCTGTAATTGTACAAGGAGAAAACTGGAATAATATCATATTTTTTAAAAAGAAGTTTTGTAGAGGACAGTGTATAGTAGCAATATGTTCTATGGCTCTTTTCTGTAGCTTGCGCAAGTTCGTCACTCTGGTAGTGCACCACACTATGCTACAGTACGGTAAAAAAGATACCAGTGCGTTGGATATCATAATTTTCACTTTAGTAGAAAGAATAGATCGCGAACGTGCAAGGACACCAATGGCCGATGGCCCCGCCACTGTGGTCTAGTGGTTAAGGTACTCGGCTGCTGACCCGCAGGTCGCGGGATCAAATCCCGGCTGTGGCGGCTGCATTTCCGATGGAGGCGGAAATGTTGTAGGCCCGCGTACTCAGATCTGGGTGCACGTTAAAGAACCCCAGGTGGTCTAAATTTCCGGAGCCCTCCACTACGGCGTCTCTCATAATCATATGGTTGTTTTGGGACGTTAAACACCACAAATCAATCAACCAATGGCCGATGACATCTTATAGTGAAGGTTATCAACACGTACATTCCTCCTAAGGTGCCATGAAAAATATACTCCAAGGATACCAACATTTCTACATATATTCAGTTTGTTAACTGGCTAGGAGAGGCGGCCAGGTTTTGTCGACCTTGCAAGAGGTGGCGCTGGCGTAGCGTTGAGATCGGGTTAGATGCAGTATGATAGGCGACTCTTGCTTCAGCCGCGTGTTTTGCAGCATTGTTGCTGCATCGCTCGCGTGTTGGGCATAAGTGTATTCTGAGGTACGCATTCTACAAACGGTTGAGCTCTTTGCAGTGATTGTGCATACATATTTCTTGAGATACTGCGAATTGTCAGCTCGGATTCTCGACATATTCAGGTGTAGTGCGTCAAATTCCGTCATGCGACATTGCTTCATGGGATATTTTCCTTGTGTTAAGAGGCTTTCAAGCCAAGTTTTCAGTCGAGGAGCAAAAGATCTGTCTGTTTGAAGGCTTATTGACACACTTTGGGGCTGTGATGACGCAAGTGTCAGTTGTCCCGTTCACAATGACACGCAAATAATATCTGCAGTCTTAACATGTCACAGCCACCGTTGATATGATTATGAGGCACGCCGCTGTACAGTTGTCTCCAGAAATTTAGACCTTCGGGTGTTTATTAGGGAGTGACGACGTTGCACACTACACGGTCCTTTTGTACATCCACTGACCAAACCAGTGACCTTTGTGTACCCACTGAAATTAGTCACAAATATGAAACAGCCGTTCTTACAAAAATGTGAAAGTGATGTTCCTGTGCCCGTATTCATAACTTTAGTACTTACTTATTTATTTATTTTACTAGAAGTTTCAAAACAGGAGAATTGAGTAAGCAAAAAAAGGTCAGTTAGGACAATGTCAAAAATGTGTCCCCCCCGCC